ACATTTCTGCTGTTCCAGGCCTCCCGGTTTGCGAGGCTTCACAGCCGCAGCCCTGGAAATCTAAGAGCCAAAACCATCAGCGGTTGTAGTGATGATGATGATCGTGAATACGAGTGCTTGCCGCCCGGCGCCCCGCCGGCAGAGCACTCGAGCCGCAGTGGCTTGTTGGAGGCGGCCCCTGGGCCATAGGAGCAGCTCGCGAGCTCTGCACACTCCATGTGGAGACACCGAACGTCCTCTGCTTCCAGGCGTGCACCCTAATGGCCCACTGTTCCCTGTGCTGATTTCTGGGAGGAATTTCAAAGAGAAGGTGAAGGAGAGAGTGGGACTGGGAAGGACCGCGGGACAGATACACCCGCTGGCTATTGGTGGAGGTGTTTCCTCAGGCTCCCGGTAACGTCAGGAAGGGGAGGCCGTCCTGAGGGACGGTCCCTTCCCCTCGCCCCCTGCCTCTCCACGCCCTGGCCCCCGCTGCTCCTGCACAACCCAAAGCCATCGCAACCAGGAGATGACAGGATTCCGGTTTCCACATCCCCGTTGGCTACGCGTTTCCCCTCCAGCATCTTCCCCAGCATTTTTAAATCAATTCTACCAAAAAAAATAAAGTGGAATTCTTAGGGACCCTTTCATTAGGAGAGGGGAGAGAAGGAAGCAGTGGGGTCAGCTAAGTGGGTCCAGTGTCCCCGCTGCCGGCAGGTGACACGGTGTCCCTCTCTGCCCGATGGGACAAGTTGTTAGCCCGAGCCATGCGGGGGGCTGCGTGTCTGCGTGCAGCCTGGCTGGCGGGGAGATCGCATTAGTGGGTGGAATTCCGAGGGGCCGCCCACTGTGCCTGCATGCGCGCACATAATGCTTTCTTAATCACAGGATTATGGAAATGGCTGGTTGAAGCCTAACAAAGTCAGCTTGTTAATCAGATGGCACTGCTCTGGGCTCCTCTGCCCTGAGTCCAGAACCCTCCGTGCAAGCCCCTCGCTAATCAACCGACCAATGGGCAGCCGGGCGGCCCGCGCCTCATTTTAACAAGGATGCCTGGCATCGGGAAAATGAAGCGTCCTCTTGGAATCATGTTTCTGCTGCTATAAATTCGGCCAAATTGTCATTCTCTGCTGAGCTCTGCTGTCAGCCTTGCTCAACAGAAGCTCCCACTTCGGCCCCCAGCCAAGACAGTCCCCAACGCAGGTTGCCATCAAGCACCCTAGCCGTGGGGCTGCCGTCTCGGCTACAAAGCTGGAAACGCTGCATGCCGCTCTACCAACTTGCAGTCCTCACCCACCGTCTCCGGCGCGCCAAGGAAGAGCCACAGGAGTTAGCCTCAGGTTGCCTGAGTATGGCAGAAACGCCTTCAGACCAGAGGCTGAAACACAAAGGAAGCTTATCTCACAAATGTAAGTGAATCCATGACCACCCCTTCGTCGCAGAGATGTGGGCTTCTCCTCTCTTTCTACCCCACCACCCTCAGGGAGTGGCTGTCATTTTCAACTTTGCCTCCTGGTCCAAGATGGCTGCTAGGGTTCCAGCCATTGTATCTGTATTCCAGGTAGCCAGAGGAGAAAAGAACATCCCCATTGACTGAATCCAGTTCCCATTAAGCTGATTTCCTTCAGGGCTGCATAATATTTCTGCTTATATTTGGAGTGACAATCGTTCTCAAACATTCAGTATCAGAATCTGGGAGAGACTGCTAAAAAACAGAGGTGAATCTCAGTAGGTCAGATGTGGGGCCCAGGAATGTGCATTTGTAACAAGTTCCCAGGCGATGCTTCTGGTCCAGGCGCCACCCTTTGAGAACCATTGCCCTCGCTCTCCATCACACGTAGCTGCAAAGGAGCCGGGAAGCTTAGTCTTACAGCTGCGTACCCTTCCTACTCCACCCCCCAGAAAGTCATGGCTCAGCTCCTAAGGAAAAGGAGGAGAGTCCATGTTGAGTGGCAGCTCACTGCTCTTTGCTGCTGTACCTTAGGCCTTTACTCCCTTCAAACCCAGTAGCTTTATTTTTGCAGCCCCTGCCTTGCTCGGGCTGCCTCTGGGACTCGGAGATCTTTGTTGTGGCTGCACAGACACCAAACAGCCACCTGCTCCTGCCTCTTCAGAGGATACTTGTCCCCCTGTTTGAGAACCCAAAGTCAGCATCGCTGAGGAGAGGGGGAACTCCCTGTTTGGGGGGATGGGTGCAGGGGACCCCATCCTCTCCTGATTTGGTCAAGGCGTTTTGGGAATGTGTGAAACTTCTCCCCTCTCGGAATTGGGTGTGTGTTTGCCTCCCGCTCCTCCCCGGGCCCAGACTCGGAGCTGGCTTCCAGCCCCAAGAGGGACGGAAGGACAGCGAACCACGGGGGACCCCAAAGCGCACTCACATCGCCGAGCATTCTCCTGCGGAGCAGCTCTCGTGTGGTTTGCAGGCAGGAACTGGGGGCTCTTTCCCTCCGCGTGAGGAAGGGGCCTTTATCACTCACTTCCCGGAGGCTGGCTGGAGACCCCAAGCTCCCGGGGGGTCCGCACCAGCCCACACTCCTCCCCACTCCACCCCCTGGGGCTCGGCTTCCGGGCACAGCGGCCACAGCGAACCCCGTCTCCACGGCCCCCAGGGTCTGCCGTGGGCACCTCCTGATTGAGAGCAAAGTTTAATTAAATGACTCCTGCATCGACTTCCGAGCAATGCTAAATTAGTTTCCAAATTAGTGACAGTCAGGCGCTCACTCTCTTAGAGCTGAGAGGAGCAGTTCAGGGACACAGGACCTCGGAACTGAAATCCTGAGTCACAGCTCTTGGGCCCCGTTTTCCGGGACTGAGGGAGACGGTGCTGGTGTTCATAGAGCAGCCACGTCCGTGCCGGGCACTAGGCAGGGGCGTCCTGCGGGCTCTCTCCTCCAATACCCAGAGGCCCTTCAGGAGACAGCGCGGCCACTTCTCCGACGGCAGCAGGGGGCCGGGGGCGGGCAGGGCTGGGAGGCCACGGCGCGGCACGCAGGCAGCGGAAGGGCTGCCCAGGACCCCCGGAGGCCAGCGGCCGGGCCCTCCTTCCTTGGTTTTCCACCCGGGCGGGACCTTCGCTCTCCCCCGCGCCGGCCACACACGCGAGGGTCCCGTCGAGCTGCCTCAAACACCCTTCTGCCAACCCCATGGCTTGTTTTCCTGACCTTCTGTGCTCCAGCCGATAGGGAGGAAATGATGGTGGGTTTTTTCACTTGTATACCTTCCCTCTGGGAGCAGGCGTTCTGGAATGTCACCTGTGTTTTCTTGGGGTTTTTTCCTATCACCTACCACTTGTGAATGACGTCCAGACGTGTGCATTGAGAGAGATTGTTTTCTGCTCGCCAGAACATTCTGGGTTAAGCTCTCCCTGTCCTCAGACCCTCATGCGATGTGACTGACCACCCCTCCCCCCTCCTGCCACGCTGGTGTAGGAGGCCAGGCGTCTGTCTGGTGTCTGAGCTGCACCGTGTTTTCCCCTCAGTCCTGTTTCTGAGACGAGCAAGCTGCGGGGGCGGCGGGTTGGCCGGACCGAGGCCACAGGGCCAGCGAGAGATGGGGCCGGGGCTGCGCCGGGCGGGTCCTTCCGGAGCCCAGCCCCTCCCCCACCCCTTTTCTTCACAGCGCACACTTGGTGGTCCTGGCACAGTCTCAAGGCTGTGCACCCCTCACCACTGCCCACCTCCAGCGCCTTTCATCCTCCCCCGAAAGAAAACACGCCCCCCCCGTCCCGGCCCTGGCACCCGCCAGGCCGCTTCCTGCCTCCGTGGGCCTGCCTGTCCGGGCGCCCCAACCGCTGGGGCCCGGCCCACGAGGCCTCTGTGTCCGGCGCCTCTCGCCGCGCACGTGCCCGAGCTCCGGGCACGTTGCAGCAGCTGTCGAGGCTTTGCCCCCGTCCGAGGCTGAGTCACAGCGCCCGGGGCGGTGACACACGTGTGACGCCCCTGCTCTGCTCCGGGCGGACCCTCCGGCGCGGGGTCACACCCCCCGCGGGGACGCGGGCCCGCGCCTTGGCCGGCCAGGCTGGTCCCCACGGTCTTAGTCACGCCACACCCCTCCGCCTGTCTGACTCTCCAGAAGGGGTTCCGCGTCCTATGGGTCCTTAAAAATTAAACGTATGATTTGTAAAGATACTGAAAATGGCAAGACCAATTTACACTTATGAGGGCGAATCGAAGAACGACGCGTGTTTTCTCCGCGGCCCCGGGCTTTGTGCCGGGTGGAGGCGACAGCGTAACGCTCCCCGCCGCAGCGCGGGGCGCCCTCTGCGCCTGGGCGGGGGAGCGCGGTGCCAGCAGGGCGAGCCCCACAGCCACACAGGCGGCCTCGAGGAACGGCGGTGCCCGGCCGTGGTCTGGCGGCGGGGAGCCGGCGTGGTCGGCGTGTTCTGGCGTCTGCCGGAGCCCGGGGGTGCCGCCGCTGTGCCCCCGACCGAGAACTGCCTCCACCCCCGTGAGCGGGGGCTTGTGGCCGGGGTGCTGAGCGGCTCGCCGCTCCGAGGGCCACAGGGCGGGCAGTGGCCGGGCCGGCCTCCGAGAGCCAGCCCCACGGCCGGTAAAGACAGGCGGCGCGTGCTCCCTGCCTGCCCGGCGCGCCTGTCCCTCCAGGTCCAGCTGGGGTTGGGGTCGGTTTCCAAGAACAATACGTTTGTTACGCATCTAAATCGTGCGCTGGGCTTGTCACTGTGAACTCCCGTTGACCAAGAGGGATGTGGAGGGAGTGGCCAGGCAGACAGCTCTGTGTGCACGGTGTGAACGTCTCCCACACACGTGTGTGCGCGCACAGGCACATGCACGCAGGTGTAACTCTCCAGGAAAGCCTCCCTCCGTCCCGACATGCATGCGCCCCGTGTCCTTGGGCCTGGGTGATCATAAATAAACCAAAGGTACGTTGTTCAGCGTTCTTCGGACATTGTCCCAAAGGATGGCCCTTTGGCCCAGGTGCCTAAGGTAGGTGTCTCGTCTCCACGCCTGGGAAGGTGTCCCAAGAGGGCCCTCCTTGACCCTGCTCGGTCTGGTTCTCCCCAGGACACCGAACTTCTGAACACGGCCATACTCACCGGGAAGACGGTGACCGTGCCCGTGAAGGTGGTGTCCGTGGAGGAGAACAGCGCGGTGGCCGACATCTCGGAGTCCGTGGAGTGCAAGTCCACAGACGAGGACGTCATCAAAGTAAGTGACTCTTGAACCACGTGGGCTGAACGTGCCCTGGCGTGCCGCTCGCTGAGCGGGGTGAGCCAGGGCGTGAGGCGGCGAACTGCGCGGCTTGGGTGCCGGCCCCCCGTTCCCCGTGTGCCCCTGTTTTGGTGCCCTGCCAGCCCCGTGTGCGTCGAGGGTGTGTGGGACCCCGGGCCCCACCCCAAATGCCTACAGTAGCCGAGCTGGCGATGTACACGAGTGAAGCCATCGATCAGACGCGCCGTGTTCTAGAAAAGCGCCCTTATTCAATTACAACCAACCACGGCCGGGAGTAAGTGCACGTCCGGTGCCGCTCTCTCTCCTGGAGAAACTGAAACTTTGGGTGCAAGTCACCTCGTTTTTCAGTGTTGACAACCAATTATAAGTTTTTTCAAATGGATGAAAAATTTAAATTGTCTGCAATGCAGGGTTGGCCCACGAGGCAGCTGTGGAAACCGCTGCATCTGCCCGGCCCCGGGATCCGGCCCGGCCGTCGCGGTGAGGGGCGTGCGGCGCGGTGGGGGACGGGCAGGCGTCGTCGCAGCCGGGGGGCTGCTGTAGCCACCGGCCCTTCCCCGCGCGCCTGCTTGTCTCCTGCAGAGACACCGGGAAAGTCTCTGCAGTGCAGTTGAGGCCCGGAAGACCTGTCGAAGCTGCACCAGAGACCTGGGATGGGGCTTCCCCGCTGGCAGCCGCGGGGCGGGCGCGGGGGGCTGTGATGCGGTGCAAGATAAGCCAGGGGTTCACCTGGAGACGGAGAGAGGAAAGCGGGTGCCGCCCCGAAGCAGGCCCAGGACTAGCCGCTGGACGCGGAGGTTCCCGGAGACCTGGGAGCTCCCAGTGAGGCTCCCAGCCCGTCATGCGGGGGTTCGGGGGCAGACGATAAAACAGAACCAATGGGGAACGGGGGGCGGGGACAGGAAAGCTGCGGAGCGTTAGTCCGGGTCACCTTTCCCAGAGGGATTGTGCTGGTGACAAGTGACCCGGGGTTCAGCATTTTTAACACAAGGCTCGCTGACTCCTGCTCACATGGCACGGGCCGGGAGTCGCGGTCCGTGGGCTGGGCTGGGTCTGGCCCCCTGCCCGTTGGGCCAGGATGCGCCCATCTCCTGCCAGGGCTGGGCTGAGCGGGGACCTGAGGGACTGTCTCTCTCATGGTCACAAAGGCAGCAGAGACGCAGGGCCCCTCTCAAGCCCGAGGCTGGGCTGGTCGGCTGTCGCTGCGTCCACATTCTTTTGGCCACAGCTGGTCGCGTGGCCAGGTCCAGCCCTGGCCGGGGGGGGGGGAGGCAGAGCGCGGCCACCGCAGGAGAACGGGAGAAAGTCAATAGTGGCCGCACCCACAGCGGGTGCCCGCGGCGGAGAGCGGAGCCCGGGCTGCACGGTCTGTGGTTCCGCACGGGCCCCCTGCCCACCGGCCGTGTGGTCTCGGACACGTTACACCGGCTTTCTGTGCCTTCGATGCCTCGTTTACAACCTGGACGTGGTCAAAACAAACACGCGACTGCTCATCGCTCATGGTGGGCGTTCAGGGAGATCATCCACATGACCTTGCCTGTGACCCTGCCCGTGGCCCTCCCGGGCAACCCTGGCCGCCTGCGAGCACTCAGCGAGGGCTGCCGTTGTTAGAAGCACGTGGTCGCCGAGGGAATCTGTCCTCCTGCGTGTGTCTGCACGTGCGCTTACATGCACGTGCGGCGGTCGGGGGCGGGCGGGGGAGAGAACAGAACCTGAGCACCTCTCCCTTCCCTGAGGCCACGGCTGTGGTTGCCTTGACAACGCCCTGTCCTGGAGATGTTGAGACCATTTCTGGCCACTTAATTCTCCACTGAGAGACCACACGTTGTTTGCAAGAAGGAACAGCCTGCCCAACAGGCTCCTGGACAGCAGCTCCCCACGGCCCCAGCAGCCTGCCCCACCCCCGGATGAAAGCTCAGGCCGGGCACTCCCCCAACCCGGCCCGGGGCAGGTTCACACCTTGCCCACTGTCGGCTGGGAACACCCTGCAAGCACAGGAATTAAGCGAACGGCGATGCAGCTCATCAGTGAAGGCGGGCACTCGGCTACAGCGCGCGGTGGGACGTGGACAGCCGCGAGCGGGCGGACGAGGCAGCCTGCCAGGGGCCCGTCCCTCCCAGCAGGCCCCCCCGCCGCAGCCTGCCCTCTGACACCAGCAAGATGCTGGGTGGAAAACCCTGGGCTTCCAGGGCTCAGGCTGGGAGGTGATGGTTTTTCCAACGCTGGTAACTAATTTGACATTTTCAGAACACCGTGCAGGGCCAGTGGGCACCAGGGCCCCCGTTTACAAGCTCTGATTCCTTCATCCACTTTTCAGCGGCCATTCCTTGAGCACCCACTGTGTGCCGGGGTTCGGTCGCTAGGGACACAGCACTGAACAAAACAGCCTGGTTCCTTGTTTAGAAGACAAATAGCCAAAATAAGCAGGTCTCCGGGACAGGCTCGAAGGCCCAGGAACTAACAGGGAACAGTAAAGCCAGGAGTGGGAGGTAGCGGGGGGAGGAAGCAGAAATTTCAAGGAAAAACGTCAGAGTCAGGCTCTCTGAGGGGTTCACACCTGGGCGAACCCCAGGGGGGCCCGTGAGCGCGGACAGGGGAGGCCCTGCCGCAGACGGAGTGCGAGCCGCCTCCCTGAGCGGGAGCTTCGCGGAGCGTAGGTTCGCGGAGCGGGACCTCAGCTTGGCGTACGAGCCATGGAGTCCAACGTTTCTGTCTCTGAACTTACTCTCTCCGGCCCCTGACCCTTAGCGGCAAGAAAAACGCAAAACTCTCACAGGAGTTTGATTCCTGAGCACAGCGAGTTTGCGACCTGGTCAGAGCCTCGCGGGCGGCGTTGTCCGAGCGCCCTCGGCGTCCGGAGGCCAGACCTGGGCGCCGGGCGCACCCAGGTGGAGCTCGGAGCTTCCGAACCAACGAGTACGTTACCGGGAGGGACATGTTCTGGCCCAAGTGTGTGTGTGGAGACCCCCCGCCAGGTGACAGTCGGAGGTGGGGCCTCAGGGAAGCCATGAGGCCCTGAGGGTGGGGCCCTCGTGAACGGGATTAGTGCCCTGACAAAAGGGACCCCGGAGCTCCCCAGCCCCCCCGTGGTGGAGGGAGGACTCAGCGAGAAGCTGGCCCCCAGGACCCAGGAGGAAAGTTGACACACGGCGCGGTCATCCGGCACGTTGATCTTGGACTTCCGGCCTCTGGAACGTGGAGGAATAAATGTCAGCCCCTTAAGCCTCCCAGCCCGTGGTGTCTGGTTACAGCGGCCCAGGCCCACGAGAGGGAGGCATGCGTTGCCACGGAAACATAGCGCCCAGCAGAAGGGGCCGCTGCATTACTTCGAGGAATAAGGCCCCCGCTGCGGTCCCCAGACCCACGCGGCAGCAGCGCCTGGGACCTCGCGGGAAGCAGCCTGTGCCGACAAGCCCTCTCGGATGCTCGCTCCGGTCTGGGACCCTGCTTGGAGACAGAAGTCACCGTGGACGTCAACAGTGGCCGTCCGCAGCCTCCCCGCAGCAGGCAGGCGATGTCCTCAGGAAGTCGCCGGAGCCTGAGTGGCAGCAGCTGTCCGCCGGCCGCATGCTGCCTGACCACAAGCCACGTGACCCGTGCTGCCCGCTGGTGCGGAGCCCCCGCATGTTCAGGCCGAGGTCGGAGGGCAGAGTCCGCAGGGCGCAGCTCCCCGGCAGCCCCCACAGCGAACGGCGGGGAGCGTTTGCACACCCTCGCCCAGCGCCTGGAGGGCTCTGCAGGCTTTCGCTCCCTTTGTGCAGAGGCGCCGGCTCCTTGGGTGATACCGCGGTTCCACTCCAGCCACTTAGGAGATGATTAATGCCTCCTGCCACCTCCCCCGACGTGTGCGGCACCCCCGGGAGCGGCGGGGACAATGGGCCCGTGCGCCGCAGCTCCGTCCCCTCCGCCTTCCCCTTGATTATTTATATATTCTGGAGCGGCCACCGTCCCTCCCCCCAGAGCTCGGAAAGGTAATAAATGAGGAGAGTCAATGGTCTGTAAATTACAACATTGATTAAAGAAGTGATTACTGATATAACTCTTGCCCGGCTATTATGCTAATGTCTGCCCAGATCCCGGACAGCATGTACATGCTAATGACAAGCCTGGGACAGCAACCAAAATTGGTTCCCACCCTTAAACAGTACGTAAACATTTTTAAACCACTCTTGACCATGAGGAAGAAGATCGATCCGCAGACGCCCCTCCCCGCAGCTCCCAGCCCCGGTCCCCGGCAGATGGGGGGAGGTGCTGAGCCCGGCCCTCCCAGCTGGCCCCGCACACGCACGCGCCAGTGGAGGATGCAGATCGGCCCCGAGCAGCCATCCACCGTCCCGGAGGCTGGGGAAGGAGCGGGCGATGGGAGGGTTCGCCGCTCAGCGCCGGGTGGCGGTGAGCCGGGTGCACAGACCGGGGCCCAGACAGATGAGGAGCAAATCGGCCATCACCGCTTAGGGTTGGAGAGCGCTGGGCGGAGACTCGCGAAGGACTTCGTTAGCGCAGGCACGTTCACACAAAACTGTGGCGTCCATTCCTACCGCAAGAAGTAGCTCCACGTCTGCTCCAAGGAACCAGGACCCCCAGAAAGGTTAGAAGACGCTGCCTGAGGGCTTTCTACACGTTTTCAAGTTAGCGTCTTGTGTCTCCACCGCCCCTGGCTTCTTCCTACCTTAGTCTCCCAGCCGATGTCCCCTCGCCCAAGGTTCCTGGTTTTGAAGTGTGCGTGCCCAGGAAGAAGGGGCCTGTTCATCCGCTGGTCCAGCCGTCCGCTACCCACTCACCGTCCACCCAGCCCACCCCCCACCACCTGTCGATCATCCCTCATCCACCCATCCGTCCACCCATCCGTCCAGCATCCGTCCATCCATGCGTCCATCCATCCATGCGTCCACTCACCCATCCACCTGCCTGTCCACCCACCCTGCATCCAGGCCTCCGTCGACCCCTTCAGAGCCCACTTTGCTGAGCTCCTCCTGAGCACCTGCTGTGAGAAACCAAGAGATCAAAGCTGACCCAGATGGGCTTCTTGCCTTCTCAGCGTTTGGCGGTCGGTGCGGTCACAGGGGTCACCGTCGATCATGCCCATAAACGGCTGCGCAGGGTGGGGTCCTGTGGCTTCTCTACAGCCCGACCGCGTTTCTCTTTTCACCTCTCAGGTGACTGAGGTGGAAAAATATATAATGCCTGGCTAATTTCCAGGAGACTTAACTGTTTCCAAGGTGTGGGGGGTAGCGGGCGGTGGGGCTTCCAGTCCTCCGGTGTCCTGGGGGGCTGCCTGGGTGGGGCCTGGGTGCCGCTCACTCGCGGAGCAGACAGTGGCCTGGAGAGCAGACCCATGTCGCATTCCCCCGGCCACGCGGACTTCAGTCCCGGCTGCAGTTCCGTGCGGTTCCAGGTCCCGCCGTGGTCCCAGCGCATCCCTCGAGCTGCCGCCTGCCCCCTGCCCCGGGGTCTGCTCAGACGCCCGGGGTCTGGCCTGGAAGTGCCGGGGAGCTCCCCCGGGGGGCAGCCTTCAGCCAGGACAGGTCAGGGCTGGCGGGGAGCACCCCCGCCGCCGGCTCATCCGGGGGCCGTTGTGCAGCTTCTCCCTGCGCCCCACGGTCACTGCCGCAAGCACAGCAACGCGCCCTGCTGTGGGCTCTTCCTCTCTCCCTTCTCCCTCACGCTGCGCCCTGGCCGCTGCCCCCGGGGTCACCTCCCGGTCAGCCACCTGCCCTGAATCCTTGCCGCAGGCTCTGCGCTCGGAAGCAGCTGGTTCCAGCATATGTGCTTTGTAAGTGACAAGGACAAATGGAAGGATGGCCCCGCAAGCTTGGCCTGCACCCCCTTATCTCTGCAGGTGTCCGACCGCTGCGACTACGTCTTTGTCAACGGCAAAGAGGTGAAGGGCAAGGTGGACGTGGCGGTGAACTTCACCTACCAGCACCTGCGTGCACCCCTGCACGTGGCTGTGTGGGCGCCTCGGCTGCCCCTGCAGATCGAGGTCTCGGACACGGAGCTGAGCCAGGTCAAAGGCTGGCGGGTCCCCGTCGCGACCGGCAAGAGGTGAGCCCGCGGGGAGAGGACCCCGAGCAGGCCACGGCCTCGCTCACCCAGCCTCACGTTGGAGGGGCCGGCGCGGGGTCCAGCGCACGGTAGACGTTGCTGTCGTCGCGGCGGCTCGGCGTCCCGGAGCCCTGTGCCACCCTCGGCGGGGACGAGGGGGGGCCTGCCAGGCGGGAGGGCCGGCGCACGGCGGGCAGCCTCCGACCGGCCGCCGCGCCTGCCCTCGGGCTCCCCGTGGGCGGTCCTCTGAACGTGCCTCCCTGAAAACGACGAGGTGGAAGTTCTACGTTTTTAAAGATTTTGTTTATTTTTAGAGCGAGGGGAAGGGAGGGGGAGAGAGGGAGAGAAGCATCGACGTGAGAGAGAAGCATCGATCGGTTCCCTCTCGCACACGCCCCAACTGGGGACCGAACCCGTGGCCCAGGCCTGTGCCCTGACCAGGGATCCAACAGGTGACCCTTCGCTTTGCGGGACGACGCCCGCCCTGCTGAGCCACACCATCAGGGCCGAAAGTGACGCATTTTTCTCGCCCCTCAGCCCCCAGGAAACTAAAGTTTTGATTTATTTTCTTTTAGTGAAAGAGTGCTTCCCTTTTCTGTGGTTTAAGGATATCTGTAAGCTTGAAAAGCTCCGTGCCTATTGAATTATTGGATAAAATTTAATTGCATATATACTGCACCATGGGGTTACATTTTGTTCTTAAGTCCCCTCCCCCCCAACAAAAAGCCTTCAGCGTGTTCCTGTGCCTCTGGGTTGTCGTATGTAGGAGTCAGGGGCCTTGCTTCCCAGCTCCGTGGCCCTGGCTTCCTGCCAAGTAGCCTCTGGCCTCGCCCGCAGGCCCCTCCCACCGCCTCGAGGACTGGGGTCCCCGCGGCAGCTCTGAGCTGGAGCAGCTGCAAGAGGCGGGGCTGGCTCGCTGGGACACTCGATCCGTGTCCACCAGGAGAGACGCGGCCTGGCTCGGCGGGGGGTCGGGGGGCAGCCGGGAGTCCAGCCTGTGCTTCGGAAAATTTAGTGTCACACGTGGCCAAGGGACAAGGTCTGCGTACGTGGCGAGAAGGCGTGCGCGTCCCTGAAGAGGGCGCGCCAAGCCTGGCCGGGCGCAGCGCTACACTTTGCTGCTTCCCAGCCGTGCGGGCTTGGCAAGGCTGCCTGGCGTTTCTGTGCCTCCGTTTTCTCGCCTGGACCTGAGGAAAATTATTGAGAGTTTGGCTCATAGTATCATGAGGCGGAAAAGAGTTCATGCACGTGGAGCTTAGAAGGCCATGACACCTCAAGGGCGTCCTGTGGCTCTGTCCCAATAGAGCTTTCTGCAGGGACGAAATGTTCTAGAAACACGCGGTCCACTAGGGTAGCCACGAGCCCATGTGGTTGTGGAGCACTGGGAACACAGCCTGTGTGAGTGAGCAACTCAGTTTCTTTATGTACTTAATTTGTATCCACTTAACTTAAATTGTAAATGGCTACCTGTGGCTACGAGCTACTGACGGGACAGTGGAGGCTCAGGAAAGAGCAGGTCTCACGTCCTTCCGTGTCTGTGAGGGTCTCCGAGGAGGGGCTGTCGCGGGTCTGTGCCCCCCAGGCCCCGAGGCCCCTGCCTGGAAGGCCGTCGGTGGGAGGCGGGGCAGGCGCCCGGCACCCGCCGGCTCTGGGCCTGAGGACGCCCCTCCGCCCCGCAGGCCCACGCGGGAGAGCGAGGACGAGGACGAGGAGGCGCGGCGGGGCCGGGGCTGTGCCCTGCAGTACCAGCGCGCCACCGTGCGCGTCCTCACGCAGTTCGTGTCTGAGGGCGCCGGCCCGTGGGGACAGCTGAGCCACCTGCTCAGTCCCGACTGGCAGGTGGACGTCACGCACCTGGTGGCCGACTTCATGAAGCTGGAGGAGCCCCACGTCGCCGCCCTGCTGGCCGGCGGGATCCTGGTCGGGCGAGAGGCTGGGATGACCACCCTCCAGGTAGGAGGCGGAGCTGGGGGTCCCTGTACGTCCAACCCTGCGCAAAGTGGGCCCCGGGGAGGGGCTGGGGGCTGGCCAGGCGGGCGGGCACGGCGGCCAGGGCCTTGTCTGCCTGGCGGCCTCCTGGGGGCTCCAGACGGTGACCTGGACCAGCTCTGTAGATCCCGATCTCCTGAACGGAGTGGAGGAGGTGGTGGCGCTCAGCTCCCGTGTGACCCCACTCCCCACGGCACCCTGCTGTCCCGCCGCCTCCCAGGACCCCCGACCCGACCCGACCCCGAGCCGCCTCCGCGCGCGCCCCCGTCCCCTGCACCGGGAAGACACGTCCGCCCTCCTCCTTCCCTTAGGCCCCTCTGTGTGTCCGCCACTTACTCACTCAGCAAACCCCCTGCCCAGTCCAGCCCCCGGTGCCCACGGCAGCGTCCGGCATGGCGGGTTTCAGACCAGGCCCCAGAGGTGTGGGGGCCTTTCCCACAAGCCCGCAATCCCCACCCTACTCGCTCTCCTCCCTGGAAAGTCACTCTGGGTCCTTCCACAGCCGCCGTGTGGAAGGCCGTGAAATGGCCGCGCGTCCGTCCTCCCCCTGGACTTCGGCCGTCCGGCCCTGGGCCTGCGAGCGGGGGCTGTGGGAGGACCGGGACTCGCTGTCCCGGCGATTCCGCCGTCCCCTTGGAGCGGGATCCGGGCGGCCCTCGCCAGGGGCCCAGCCAGCGGGGTGGCCGCGTGCCGTCACTGGCTGTGCCTGTACGAGCCTGTCTCACCCCTCAAAGACGGAGCGGTTCTCTCCCTTCGGAAAAACCTGGGTTGTGGTACTTTAGTCAGTTTCCCAGCAGACAGGACGACAGCGTCTCGGGAGGCCCAGGCAGCGGGCGCGTGCGGGGTGAGGAAGGCGCACACGCCCTTCCCCCGCGGCCGGGACCCCGCCCGCGGGGGGAGCGGGGATGCGGCTGAGGCGGCATCCTGCCACGGAAACGGGCGTGACGGGTTTGTCTCGTGTGCTGCCCCCCGCAGGTGCTGTCCCCGCTGTCCGACTCCATCCTGGGAGAGAAGACGGTGACCGTGCTGGATGACAAAGTGTCGCTGACCGACCTGGCCGTCCAGCTGGTGGCTGGGCTCTCTGTCACCCTGCACCCCGGCACGGACAACGGCGTGGCCATCACAGCTGTGGCCGCGGCCGAGGAGCTGCTCCGGACCCCCAAACAGGTGGGAGCCCAGAGGCTGGGGGCGGAGAGGGGCGGCCGGTCGCCGGCCACCGTCCCTGATTCTACAGAAGGATGGCGGGGGTGGGGGACAGGGGCGGGGGCCGACCCGCGTTCCAGGACGAGGTGGGGTCCCTGAGGACGAAGGCTCCCTCTGACCCACACAGGCCGGGGGCCACGCAGGCGCCTGGTCCGAGCAGCGGGGTCTGCGATGGAAGGCGTGACGGTGGCCCCGTGCGCAGGGTGTCCGAGCGCAGCACAGCCTGCCACCCCCCCCCCCAGCGGGCGCCTCTGGATTCCATGCGCAGGCGCCACTGGCCCAGCGAGTCGGCCGGCGGGGCGTTTCCTCGCTTGTTGGGGCCGTCGGCAGAACCCGCTCCCTGTGGTCACAGGAGCCGCGTGTCCGTTTCTCTGCTGCTCCCCGGTGCCCGGGGGCACCTCTCAGGGCCGCAAGGCGGTATACCGTACCGTGGCCTTCTCGCCGCCCCGCCCCCGTCGCCCACGGTGGCCGCCCCGCCCCGCAGCAGGGCCGAGGGCGTGCGGCTCTCATGCCTGAAACCTCTGGCTCCCCGGCCGCCAGCCAGGGGGCCCCTGCGCTGCCCGAGGCCCCCGCGACCGCGACGGCAGGCCACCCGGGGAGCCCCGGCGCTGGCCTCGGGCACCCCGGGGGCCGGGCCTCACGGTGCAGGCGCCCAGGGTTAGGGCCGCTGCTCCGGAGCCACGTGCCACTTCGTTCCAGGGCATCGGGCAGGGACCTGGGATACGTCCACCCCCCCGTCCAGCCCCCGTGTCCCTTGGAGGCAGGAAACGGTCGGGGTGTGTTCTGGTTTACAAGCAGCAGCGCAGTGTGGGGGGACAGGGCAGAAGGCATGACGCTCTCTGCTGAGAACGGGCGACGCGCGAGGGGGCCACAGCGCTGCGCTGCCGCCTCCCCCGGCCGAGCAAGGCCGCCGTCTCCATCCAGCGGCGCCCGCCGGCCTGTCCGGCGTCACCGTCGGGGCGTCTGAGCCCAGCCCGACTCAGGGGACTCACAGGCGCTGTTCACCGGTGACAGCCTGGAACTGGAAACCACGCTGGGCCGCATTATAAGTCACTCAGAACGCCTGCCCATTGGGGAAACGCGTGGGCGTCCCCCGAGAAACCGCCCCAGGGCAGCCGTGTGGAAGTTCGCCAACGGGGTCTTCGTGCCTGTCCCGCGGTGCAGCCAACGGCGGCGGCGGCTTTTGGGAAGCCCCCCCGGCCCTGTGTTCTGGGCGCTTCCTCAGATCATCCACCATCTGGGGGGCTTGCTTTGTGTCAGCTTCTCTCTGCGCCTAGAGCTCATGAAGAAAAACTAATTTCAGGCAGGAAGTCAGCGAAGACGACCTCACGGGCTGCGTTCACGCGTGTTATCATGGTCCTGGGGCCGGGAAGGCAGGCACCTGGCTCTCCACTTTCGACTTTGAAGTGCAAATTCTGAAAGACCTGCACGCCGCGGGGGGCGTGAAGACAGGAGTGCACGCGATGCTCCCCGCGCCTCCTGCCGCCTGGGTTCGGAAGGAAGGGAGCCGGGAGGGAAGGGACAGGAGCCCCCGCGTGGGTGCGCCTGACTCAGGCGTCCCAGGGGCGTGCGGGTTTGCAGGACCGGCCCACCTCTATCCGGGGGAAGGGAGCCTGTCCGGCGGGGCCGGGGGGGGGGGGGAGCGGCAGAAGGGGGCGGGAAGGACGTGGCGGAGACAGTGCGCCCGCGGAGCGCTGTGGGCTCGGGGGCCTGAGGCTGCTGGGGAAGGCCTAGACGGTCCTGTCGCTGAGGGGCGGGGCGGCTGGCAGCCTGGGCGCGGATGTGGGCGTGGCCGTGAACACAGACGGGGAAGTGGATGTGGATGTAGATCATATAGATGCATAGATGCAGACGCCCGCGGGCCCTCAACCGCGAGCGGCCGGGCGGCTGGCTCTGCCCTGGACCACCGGGCTGCGGAGGCAGAGAGTGCCCGAGGGCGAAACCGACGCGCCAACAGGGAGCCCTGGCAGGGTCAGGGTCAGGGTCAGCGAGGCCACACCTGTCTGGGCTCGGTGGCTCCCCTGCAGGCGGCCGCTGTCGGCCCTGGCGGCAGGGAGAAGGGAGAGGCCTCCCTCCCGGCCTACATGGGGGCCCCGGCCTTGAGCCGTCCGCCCGGGCGCGGGCGTCTTGGGAAAGCCGGAGGCGGCGCTGGGACCCCGTCGCCCGAAACCCTCATTGGCACTGCGGACGCTTCCCCTCGAGTCTGGAAAACGTCCGGTCACGGTGCCTTTGAATGTCGACTCTGCCCCGCCCCCGCCCCCATAGCCCCTCCTTCTGGAACGTCCAACACAAAGTCCCTCCTGTTAGAAAGGCAAGGTCCCCTCGGTCCTCCTCGTCCTCTCTCCCAACCTCTGTCCCCTCCGCGCCACCTCCTCCCACCGCTGGGGTCCCATGCGGGCTGATTCTCTGGGCTCCGGCGAGGAGGCCGGCACCCGACTCCCTCCCCAGCGCCAGCGCGCGCGGCCGCCCGCCCGGGGCTCCCGCAGGACTTCTGGGCGCCCCTCCCTGGGGGGTGCTGGCCGTCCTCTCCCTCCCGTTCACGGTGGCTTCTGCCCCTTCCCGCCGCCCTTCAGCGGTTGTGCTGTGCAGGCGTTTTGGGTGGTTTCCTTCATTTTTCACTCTTCTCCATTTGTTCTGTTCCCGCGAGCCCTCGGTCTGCAGGTCTGGGGGGACTGTCCCTGGTCCCTCCCGTGGTGGGGCCTCGCCTCTCGGGGACGGGGACTGTTCTCTTTCATCGCGAGCGCCTCTTGAGCTGAGGTCCCCCTGCGCCGTTTCGTGCGGGACAGCTGCCCAGGAAGCTCCGTGGCATCTTGGCTGGCCGCCCACCAAAGGGAGGGCCACGTCCTGACCCCCAGCCTGGGACGAGGTCGCCGTACATCCGCGACGTGCTGTACTGGGCTGTGTCCTCACACGGGTCCCGAGCAGAGGCTCTGGGGACATCGTCGCGCACAGTAGGAACCGTGAGGGCCGGCCCCGTGCGCGGGTGTCCTTGTTCATAAAGCCCGTGGGACCTCGTCGCGGCTGGGGGTTGGGGGTTTCCCTGGAAAGGGTTACACGGGCGCTTTCGCAGCCTGTCTGCACGTGCCCTGGGCTAAGTCACAGTGGCCCCCGCCCCGGATTTATCGACGTGCCGCCCAGGCCTGGAGCCTGGTCCCTGTGTCTCCGGGTTGGGGAGGCGGGGCGGGGCGCGGCGGCCCCACCGGGCCCGCTAACGGCTGTCTCCCCGCAGGAGGCCGTGGTCAGCACCTGGCTGCAGTTCAGCGACAGCTCCGTGGTGCCCCTGGACATCTACGACGCCGAGGACTTCACCCTGACGGCCACCTCCCTGGACGAGGCCGTCGTATCCGTCGCCCGGGCCCGCTCCGCCCGCTGGCCCGTGGTGGTGGCCGAAGGGGACGGCCAGGGGCCGCTGCTCCGCGTGGACCTGGCCATCGCGGGGACCTGCCAGAAGTCCAAGCGCAAGAGCGTCCTGGCCGTAGGCGTCGCCCACGTCAGGGTCAAGTTTGGCCGGAACCATGCGGACACCGGCCCCGCAGGGGAGGACGGCGAGGCCGCGCTCCGGAACCACGCCGGCGACCGGCACCCCAAGGGCCAGGACCCCGAGCGCGTGGGCCTGGACGGGCCCCCGCGGGGCAGCTCGCCGCTGGCGCGAGAGGAGGGGGCCCACAGGGGCGGCCCCACGGCCACATCGCTGCTGGACAACCAGGTGGCCGAGAACAGCCGGCTGGACAGGGGCTGGCCGCCCGGAGAGGCCCCGCTGCAGAACATCCCCATCGACGTCAGCGACTTCCCGGCGCCAGCGGACCTCCCGCGGGCCGGGGCCGGGCCGGGGGACGGGGGGCTGCTGCCGGCCGCCCGCGGCCTGAGCGACCTGCAGATCGGCATGTACGCCCTCCTGGGCGTCTTCTGCCTGGCCATCCTGGTCTTCCTCATCAACTGTGCCACCTTCGCCCTCCGGTACCGGCACAAGCAGGCGCCACTGGAAGGCCAGGCCTCCGTGACCCACTCGCACGACTGGGTGTGGCTGGGCCACGGGGCGGAGCTGCGGGAGGGCGCGGGCGAGGGGCCACCGCCGCTGGACGAGCACACCACCGTCATCGACCGCGGGCCAGCGGGCCGCGAGGACAGCGCCCGCCTCCCGCTCAATGGCGGCTCCTCCCAGAAGCAGGTGCCGGGCCAGGGGCCCAGGCCGGCAGCGCCCGGGGGCGGGCAGGGCCGGGACCGGAAGCAAGAGGCGCCCCCCTCACCCACCTCCAAGAGGAAGAAGGTGAAGTTCGCCACCTTCACCACCATCCCCGCCGAGGACGGCGGCCCGGCCATGAACTGCGTCCTCGGCGGCAACGATGAGGACATCAAGTGGGTCTGCCGGGACCTGGAGTTGGGCGCCCCCAAAGAGCTCAGAGACTATCTGGAGAGGTTCAAGGACAAAGCGTAGGCCCTCTGGCCCCGGGGACCCGGGCCCGGCCCCTGCTGCCCTGCAGGGGAACCCTGGGCCCCTGGGCTGGCGGGCGGGGGCCGCGGGGGCTCCCACAGGGCCGCGCCAGGGCCGCTTATAGACCCGCCGGATGTTTTGAAGCCAAGAAGGGACCTTTTTCGTAGTCAAGGGTTTTTTAGCCGTCGGCGAGGGGCGCGGCCGACCGGGACACGGAGCTGCGGCCAGCCACACTTGGGACGCTCTTCCTGAGCCACAGTGCAACACGGTCAAGCTACCAAAACGGTCTGTTTAAAAACGCAGAAAGACACGTAAAAAGAGGCAGAGATAGTCATCGGTTTATATTTCTAATGAAGGAGTGTCATCTACAAGCAGGGCCTGCGAAGAGACAGTTCCATCCTAGTTCAGCGTCCCCTTTCTCGAGGACGGGCCCCTAGGCCTGGGAGGACACGCGTCTGGACAGCCGCCACCTGTGGGGACAGACTGAGCGTTTCTAGATTTCGCTTGCCCATCGTCTGTTTTTCCTCATTTCCTTACTTCCGCCTCTTTTCTTTTTGTGCCCTAGACACCCATTTGATTTCAATTTAATGTTGATTTCTGAGCATCGACTGGCATATTTTTCCTAAATTAAACGTAAGTCCTATCCCTATTCATTAGATAGACTCTTAGAAACGGCCACTTTTCCTTCGTTCTTCGAGTAGGTTGGACGCTTCTCTCCACCGCAGCCCCGCGGCTGTTCGCTGGGCGTTTGCACGTGCAGGGAGCGCGCAGGGCTTCTGGGGGCTGCGCCCACCGGCACGGCCGTCACAGGCAGCACGGATGCAGCCGCCGTGGGGACACCGCCCGGGGCTGGTCACGTGGCACCAGCCCGGCCGGCCCCCGACCGCTCAGCCGCGCCGTGGCTGCTGCCGTGGGGACGCTCCTCCGTCGGGGGAGGTCGGCTCAGAGCCCCAAGAGTGCTCAGCATCCCCGCGCGGGTGGCTCTGTCGGGACACCTGCAGACACGGGGAAGCGAACATCGGTAAAATGGGGGCGTTCTCAAGTTGCCCTCCTCTCTCTGTTGGGGGCTGTGTCCCAGCACAGACGGGAAAGGGAAGAATCCACATCAGCTGCCAACCAGCTGTGTTCCGTAACAGCCCAACTGTGTGGCAGGACATCGGGAAATGCGTTCCTCCAACGCAGTGCGGCCGCGGCCGGGCGGATGCAACGTGGCGAGGCAGCCCCCTCGTGACGCCGGCTCCGTCTGTCGCGGCCACCGGGCTCCCAGGGTATGTCTTGGTTGTATTTTTGTAATTCCTAGAACCAATTGCTAAGACAGAGTCCTCGAAGCCTCGTGGCCTTGGCGGGACCTTTCCAAAAGATATTTCTAGCACATATTATAGATGGAAGAAAGGAGCTATTTATTTATACCCGCGATGTCAGTTGTCATTAAAATGCTCCCGTGGCTCGACAAGTCTGTGTCTCGTGGGGTGTTTCTTACTCCATTTGACTCCTAGTTCCTCTCCCTGACAAACGTGCCGCTTGCCGAAGACGTGACCTGCCTGGCGAGCGTACGCAACACTCGCTGAACGATGCCTTTCCCCCACGCAGACCCAGAGCACTTCGGGCGAGGGGGCCCTTCCGTCTCCCGCCCGCGGCGGCGACAGCCATGACCCTGCGCGGGCTCCGGACCACCGGGGCGGCCCAGAAAACCGCAGAACCAGCGGGGGCCCGAGGACCGAAGACAGAGGCCACAGCGAGAGGCTGCAAGCATTTGATGAGATGAAGGAAGGAAGGAAGGAAGGAAGGAAGGAAGGAAGGAAGGAAGGAGGGAGGGAGGGAGGGAGGGAAAGAGAGAAAGTAAGAGAAAGGAAGGAAGGAAGGAAGGAAGGAAGGAAGGAAGGAAGGAAGAAAGGAAGGAAGGAAGGAAGGAAGAAAGGAAGACAGATGAGCAGCTATTCAGGAAGCACCGTTTCGGGCAGGAGCCCAAATGGTCCCAGTGAGGAGACAAGGGGGACGATGGTGTTTGTGAGAAGGGGAAGGAGGACCGGAGCCCCCATGGAGGGCAGGCGTCGCTATGGGCACCGCTACGGCAACACAGGGTCACTCACGCTGAACGGCGTGTTCCCTTTCCGGTCTGGTAGTCACCGGTTCGGGGTGGCAGTGGCTGCGTCCTTGTCATCCTCACAGACGGTGACTTGGGGAACAGTGTGGCTCCGGGCCAGGCCACGGGTCACTCTGTTCCGTTTTGGTGCCCACAGGTTTTAGGACGAAACCGGCCCGCGGCTCCTGTGGGATGGCAGCTCCGGCCCCATTTTATAAAAGCTCCGTTTATATTATTGTTTACAGGCCAAACAGTGCATTCATTTCTAACCAGTTCCGGGGTGTTTCCGACACCGCCGACCTGCCCGCCGCACCTCGGGGTCCCCGCCTCGCTCGAGGGGGCCGTGACCTTCGGCGGAGAGCTGTGCGGCCGTCCCACGGGGAAAGGGGTTCGCTTGCGTTCTTACTGCTCCTGTGCTTCCTCTCGCTCTTTGCGGTTTCGCTGGTATAGCTGCTGCTCATGGTTAGTTGGGGAACGAGGACTTTTGGGGAGAAGATGGTGGTACTTTTTTTAAAAAAAAAGCTTTATTGAGATAGAACTCACATATGCTAAAAACTGACCCGGGGAAAGCGTTCGACTCAATGGGTGTTGGTGCGTTTACAGAGCTGGGGGCCCTCGTGGCATCAATTTTAGAAATTTTTCGTCCTCCCTGAAGAGACCCCGCTCCTGTTAGACGCACTCGCCGTTCTCCCCAAAGCCCCAGCCCCGGGCAACCGCCAACCCCTGCCACCTGCGCGCAGGCGCCGCCCGCGTTGGGTCGGGAGACCCGCCCCGGCTCGTGGGAATCCCTGCCCCTGCCTTCACCGGCTCGGAGCCGTTCCGCCGGGGAGCAGCGGAGGGGGTCACAGCCCGCGGCCGCTTCCTTAGCCACGCGCCAGGCGGCCCCTGCGCCCCCGGGCGGGGTGGCCCGTGCGCGGGGAGAGGAGCCGGCCTCACGGCGGCCCGTGTGACCCCGCGTCCCCGCTCCGTCCGCTCCCTGTCCCGTGGGCCCGTCGACGCCTTCCCGAGGTTCCCAAATTAGGGGAAGGGGAGCGTGGCCGGGCCTCCTGCTGGAGGCCGAATTTCTGCCCTGAGTTGAAGTACAAAACGGTGCCTCTGTGGTCCCCTCTGGTCGGCCGAGCGACGTTGGTTCCGAGGCCGGGACCGGGGGGACAGCGGACGTCCTCCCCCGGCGCCGCTGTGGGCAGGCAGCGCCTGTCCGTCATTCACGAACGGTCGTGTGAAGGGGGCGTGTCACGCGCACGCACGCGCCCGCGCCCGCCCCGGATCACAGACGAGGCGGCGGGCTGCCCAGGGCCCTTCCCAAGGTCACGGCTGGGCAGTGGCGGAGGCCGCACGCCTGCGCCCCCGCGGACCGCGGTCTCCGTTATCGCGCTACTACACGCTTCTCGTCCGTTTCCTTGGGTTAAAAAATGTAATGAGAATGACCAAAAAGAAAAAAAAAAGCAGTTCAGGCTTATTGCGCCACATCTGGAGAAGAAAGGAAAGCAGAAGAAACGAGGTGTTGACAAGAAGCCCTGGGGCCCCTCTTCCCGGAAAGAAAAGCGAACGACTCGCCTTCCAGACCCTTCACCGAGCGTTTTTAATGCCGCGTGTGATTTTTTCCACGGTTGCATTCAGAGTTTGAAAGGATGCCGTTATAAATATGACTTTTAAATTATTTTTCCAATTTTAAAAGCAGCCCATGAGCACTGTAAAAAATTTATTAAAATGACTGAGTTCACCTCGCGTGGCGCCTCGGATCTGTCCTTCCACGTTCTTACGGGTTTCTCTTGCCTCCGCTTTTGAGATCAAGGAGCCCCTATGGGTTTTTAAGTGCGATTAACGGGAGGCGCTGCCGCGGGGGCCACACCCGCGTCAGCGACACACGGCAGCGCCCGTTGCCGGCGAGGCCTGGCCGCCGCTCCCGAGGGGCCCTGCGGTGCACAGCCGCTTGCTCCGCAGGCCGAGGAGACCGGGAAGGCGACGGGGCAGGTGTCCGGGCTGGACGCCTGTGCTCAGCCTGGTCTGCCGCTGCTGACGGGGGTCGGTCCCATCGGCCTGACGCTCCCGTCGGTGCTGAGGGCACAGGGCACAGAGACCCACATGCGGGCAGAGGTCGAGGCAGGACGGATGGAGGCGAGCCCCACACGGGTCCCCTGGGGGCGTCATCGACTCCCCGTGGAGCCCAGAGACGCAGCCGATGGCGGCCGCCGGCTCTGTGGTCTGGACAGACGCCGCGACGCCCAGGCCTACACGGGCCGCAGGAGCCTGGGCACAGCAGTCGGAGGGGCTGACCGCTCAGCTGCGGCGTGGGTGCGCTCACAGGACGCGGAGCCGGGCGCCGGGAGCCCCAGGCCCTCGGCGCCTCTGCAGCGGTGAGCGAGGGCGGTCCCTGTGAGAACGAGCCGCAGGTGCAGGGGACGGAGGGGCACAGGTGTGGACGTTGGCAGACAGGGGATGGGAGCCATGGAAAGGGGCGCACCCAGGGGGCTGGACCTGGGCAGGACACGTGCGTCCCCCTGACAAATGCTCGCCCCTGCTCCATGCCGCGCAGTGAGAACGCCTCCGCGGGACCAACGCTGCAGAGAGCACGAGAGCCGGGCAGCCTCCGACAGGCACGCAGGAGCCCACGGGGACCAGCGAGGCCCCCGGGCAGACAGGCGAGTCGGAGCACCGGACACCGTAGAGGCCTGGACGGTCGGGGCAGCGCGGCTGGCAGAGGGGGCATGGCTGCGTTAGGGCCCACGTGCCCTGTGTCGGCTTCAACGACAGCGTTTTCCCCGCGCCCCTTACGGCGGCGCCCACGATGGCGCCACGGTGACCACGTCCGGGACATGGGATCCGTTGCAGACATTTCATGCTGATCTTTCACCCATTCAGCCCAATAAAAATGTAACGCCAGCCATGTATATAAAATTTTAAATTTCCTGGAAGCTAT